GAGATACAATTCAGAAAGACTATTAGCGCTCATCCTTGTATGCAACGCTCAACTCCTTTAAAGACGATTATCAGCGAGCTCTAAATATTTTCTAAGCCAGGTATTTTTTCCAAAAATGCTTTTCTTCCTACATCCTTTATAATTCATCTTGAAAGTACCAACTTTGAATGATATGTCACAAAAATGCGATAGTATTGAGAAGTTTAGCATGGTAATTGCTTGCTACTTGCAAATGTTTTTATTCATGAAGAAAGCTTTGCTGTACTGCCTCTAAACAGTTTTATTTGTATTCATTATTTTACTATAAAAATTAATTTCTATCAAATATATTTTAATACAGTACATTTATCATCATCGCATCGATGTTGATCTAAACAATTTCATTTCTTATCTTCAATTCCAGTGATTGAAAATCACTATATTGTTTTAGCTTCGACAAGGTGTTCGCGGGCTGATGAGAGAGTTTTTCAGAGATATCTCACGTGTATATACAGCAAACTCTGGCGTGTATACTCCACCTCTCAAAGTCAGGTACCAATATTTTCAATTTTCTATAATTTTGCGAGTCTTTCAAACTGACAATGCAACAATTCAGCTCGTACATGGTGTTATTCTTCTATATTCTGACTCCTATTGCTACTCTTGCCTGTGCTATCCGATGGCTGGTGTATTTCTACTGGACAATAGGTGACTCCACAGGCTTCCATTATTGTTTCACTGCATATCTGCCGAAATTCCGAAATAGATTTCGATCATCTCATGGAAATTCACTGGATTACCAATGACATCGTCTCTCTTGTCGCGAACATTCTACAATTGTTGTTTTTCATGGGGGTTAGGTTTAGTCCATCTATTACAGATAACCTAAAACTCACATCGGCCCATCTTCCAGGTATTCGCATTTACATGGTACTTAACGGACGATAGACTCGACGCTCATCATAAAGCGCATGCTCGTGGAGACATCGCAATCCTTTTCGGGTGTTGTTTCGTGCTATTTGTAAAACTAGTAGGTGTAATGCTTCTTAAGAACATCGTATGCATGGTAACTTATGGTAACCTTACCAGATCCTGCAATCAATTGAAATAGAATTCCAACGAAGAGACGGTTTCGTCA